TACCAGTTAACTATATTGAATAGCATGGATTTCTGAGTAAATATATTTATAACTTTAGTGCAATCTTACAAAGTTATATAACTTGCTTTCCCAGCTTACTAGCATCCAGTTATGTTGGAACTGAATTCTTGCAGTTCCCAGTTTACATGGCTTAACTCTCATCATAATCTCCAGACTACACTGGTGGAAATTTTAGTCCAGCCGTGTCCACTGAGTGATATATTTCTATATCAACAATTTTCTTCTATTCCCTTTTTGCTTGCCCACTTGATTTGCTTTTTGTTCTTTTAAAAATAGTTAATAAATAAAAAAAAGAAATTTTAGCCCCAAAATCTGAAGTTGATATACTTCCCTTGACGTAAGCTCCACTAACATCCATATTTTCCTCCTTAATAAACATGCATAGGACTGCACTGTTAGCAAATTTGAATGAATCCTTTATTTTTTTTTAAAGCAAAGAATAATTGTCCCCAAAGTTGCAGAAAGCTTTTACAGATGTCACCTTTCAGTTTTATTAAATCAAAGAAGTAAACGGAGTGTGCCAGATTGGGCTGCATGAAACGTTCACAAGTATATTTACCAGAGTTAAAATTGTTGTGAAAAGAGTATGTTTGATAATGACACTCATAAATTCTCTAGAGGTGACATTTTCAGTGTGAAAGCTATTGACAACATGTTTTATTCAAAACATATTCGAAAGAAGTCAATGTATTCCATCGATGCAAGAAAAGAACTGATTTTTCCCATTCGGTAGCTTCTAGATTGTAATTACGAATATGTTCTTCCCCTTCCTTTTTATTTTTTCCACCTCAGTTATAATGACTGAGCTCAGTAATTAATGAGACTGCAACATTGCCCCGTTTACCCTGAAGTAAGCTTCAATAGATACATTGGCCTTTCTTTCTGAACACCCATGTATAAACCATGCTTAAGGATGCACTGCAGGATTCTGCACCTAATTAAGAGGCTGGGCATAAATCTTGATTTGGCAGTCTAGTAAGATATCTTGTCATAAGTATTACCTTTGTTAATCGCTGTTTAGGTTTCATCGTGTTTCTTGTCAGTAGATCCATGATTGCTGGTAGTCACTTGCTCAAAAGAATTGTGCAAAAGATGAGTTTCCGACCTTTATTAGATTTGTTGGTTAAAGAGCTGGAGAGGCATAGTTGATCGTATGAGATTCCCAAGTGGAGGAGGAGAAAGAGAGACAGTTGGTGGCAGACAACATGAGAGAATTAGAGGAAGCTTATTTGTAGCCACTGGTAAGGATATAATTAATCAACTCAAATGTTAATGAAAAACCAAGCATTCTGCAAGCGTGTACCTTCTCTACACACCAATTGTTTAAATAGAGAAAGTGCAAAGGCCAAAGGAGTTTGCACAATGATAAACCCACCAAAATAAGCTGACATGTTCACTGGGAGTTTATTGCATTCTAGACATCAGAACAGAGGAAGTCTTCCCCTAACTTGTCATCCCAATATGCTGGACTCCAATTTCAAAATATTCAGATAATTTCATAAGTGTTGCCCTTTTCCAAACTGGTACCCAGAGAAGTGCTGGGTTTACAATTCTCAGAGTCCCATCCTAGCTGGCTATCATTTTCAGGGCTGCAATCCCAGTTAGATAATGCCAGATTGTTGGAAGTTTCTCTAGGACAGTAGTTCTGATTTTTTGCTCCGCTAATAGAAAATTGCAAGGTGTTATTTTTCTTCTACATTAGGGGGGTCTCCAAACTTGGCTAGTTTAGGACTTGTGAACTTGTGGACTTCAGCAGCCAGAATTCCTCAACCAGCCATTCCCAGGCTGGGGAATTCTGGGAGTTGAAGTCTACAAGTCATAAAGTTGCCAAGTTTGGAGACTGCTGTTCTACATATATTCTATTCATAACTTTTATAGGTAGTCCTGGATTTACAATCACAATTGGGACCAGAACTCCATTGCTAAGGTCTGATTAAGATCATGTACTGATTTATGGTTAAATTGAGATTTGATACTTGCCAAAAGAAAAAAATTCCATGGAGCCTCCAGGATTTTGATTCAAATCACAACTCTTAGAAATATGGAGCAACAAATCTCCATGGAATGAACTTCCTATCATCTCTTACATTTGGCTGGCTATGCTGGATATAATTGGGCATCTAACAATATCTGGAGGAATAATCCAGCCTATTCCTGTGCTAATTAAGAGAATACTTAAATTCCATTAAAATCAATGGAAACATTTATCCTAAGTACTTGGAGAATAGTTAACCCAGTTAAAGTTAGTGGATACAAGATGGAAGAGTTCACCTCTAGCCTTCCTGAATTTGAAGCATTGATGATATTATTTACCGTGTTTCCCTGAAAATAAGACCCGGTCTTATTTTTTATTTTTTTTGTCTCCAAAAGAGGCACCAGGTCTTATTTTTGGGGGGTGTCAGTTCCATGGTCTTTGTGGCAGTGGCACCAACAGTCCTGCCCAGCTGGCCCACTTCTTCTGCGGCCGCTCACTCCACTTGTGTGCGTCACCCCTGCCTCCATTTCGCTGTCAGAGGCCTTCAGGAAATGTCTCTGCAGCTGAGAATGGAACTCCAGATTGACACACACATCACTTCCAGGCTCCATTCTTATTTTTGGGGTGGGGCTTATATTAGGCCCACCCCCCAAAAAAAATCAAGTTAGGGCTTATTTTCAGGGTAGGTCTTATTTTCAGGGAAACACGATAGTTTGGGTAATAAAACATCTGCAAGGAAACAACCCAGTTCAGAGAGCACCAAGGACCCCTCATTTCAACCCTGAGCTACATATATTCTCCTTTATTGAACTTTGTTCCTCCAAAGAAATATTAGATATTCCCATCTAACACTTACTTGGTGGTAAGCTCCATTGAATTCCTTGGAGCTTAATTCTAAAGAGATGTGTTTAGAAAATTACGTTTTAAAATTCAGAATTAATAGTACCAACAATTATATAGCCTTTGGGCAAAAAGAGACAGAATGTGCTGTATACAGATTTCAAGGATGTGTATTTCTACTTCACTAGAGCCAGTTGAATCCCAGTTAATAAGTTAAGAACACCTGTTTAATACTTTCACTTGTAACTTTCTGAACAAAGTTCACAATGTTATTCCCATAATACTTCTAAAGAATCAATGGAAGACACTCTCTTCACTAGTAGCTCAGTTCTGGTTCTTCTTTGAGGACACCCTTAATCTACTACACAGCCTGAGTTTCAGTGGTGCTCATTGGAATGGAAGGAAATTTCCTGGTTCTTGGAATCAAAGTGCCTGTTCATCAAGATCAAAGCACTACAAGTAACTCAGCTCCAGTTGGATGTTGAATTTGTGCAAGAGAAAGTGCAAGAGAAATCAAAGTGCAAGAGAAATAAAAAATGATGGTGGAGAGTCTGCACTATAAGCTGTTTTTGTTTTTGAAATCGTGATAGGACAACCATGCAGTCTTTTAGATGCTTTGCACATGGAAATAATATAAAGAAGCAAGCGTATTTGCTCTGATTGCAAATAAAACTTTAACTTAAGGGAGAAAAAATTGGCCAGTTGGTTTCTCAACTGACAGAAAGAGTAAAATGTGGCTATTATTCATCGATTCAAGAAATTTTAGATAAAGGTATGAAGAGGTTGTTTTGTGATATGTCACACTTCTGCCTTCATAACATCAAGGATGTTCTCTGGTTATGATGGTGTAATATGTACAAAATTCAAAAGGTAAGATACCTAATTCTGATTGAAAGAAGATAGCAGGGACTGTAATTGTTTACTATTGTGCTTCTTTTTTAAAAATGTAATACATATCTTGAGTATTTTCCATATCAGCTTCTGCAACAACATTCAGTTGTTTTTTTCCCCAGTTTCTGTTTTAAAATGCACAGGACTGAACTAGTCTGGCTCTTTTGGTATGCAAAACATCTGTTTTCCTAATGATCATCTTTCCTCCAGCTGTTTTCTTGTAACCAGCTGTATTCTTTTTACTTTCTTTCTTAAATGCCAGTAAGGATTCCTACTTGCTCTAATATTGAGATGACCTGTGCCCTGTACTTTATATTCAAATATGCTAATTTGAGTATATTGTCCTATCATAGCAATTGCTGTATGAGAATACTATTGTATTTGGATTGTGCATTCAGGGTTTATTGCACAAAATCAAATGAATAGTTTGGATGGCCTTGAGGTAGGTTTGTTATTTGCCTAAATATTAACTTGGCATGAAAAATTCAACCTGTGGTTCTAATTAGAATTTGGTCACCTTAAATGAGCTCACTCAGCTATTGATTGTTAATATCCCCTACATTCTGCAAACAATGTGTTATAAACTCTTTTCACTCCACTTGGTCAGGCAGGCAGTACTATTCTTTTAAAGCTGAAGAACCAAGCAAAGTTGGGAGGAAGTTGTGGTGTTTAGTTTCACGGCTCTTGATAAAATGGGCTGCAGAAAACCTACATGGACCAAATGTCCAATACATTTTACTTGGTTTGCATTACCTGATACTCTTGGAGTTGGGGAGATAGGAATATCTGCTTTTAGAATGGGCAATCAGTGCTCTTTTAAAAATACCATTAATAGCCCTATAATATACCCAAATAGTGTAAAAGTGGTTAGATGCATGTAGTTTTGATACATATCCATTTCACAATGGTAACGGCTCAGCTGTATATGAATGGAGTTTGGTCCATTGAATCAGCCTTCCATCCTTCTCAAGTCAGTAAAATGAGGATCCAGATGGTTGGGGGCAATATCCAAACATTGCCTCTACATTGTAAACCACCCAGGGAGTGTTGTAAAGTACAATCGAGTATATAAGCCTAAATGCTATTGCTATTTTGGAAAAAAAAAACTATCTCATGGCACAATAACACAATCACGAGTCCAAAAGCTTGCATAATCTGGTAATAACACAAAAGCAATTGAAGACAAGTTAGTAGAATTTAGTTATGGATTAAACAAGTAATAAAAACAAGAAGTCTAAAGAACATTTAAGGGCCAGCACAAAGCCACCTAAAATGCTAAATGTTTTTGGAATAAGTGTGTGTTTTAATGCCTGTCAGTTTGAATGGCTGATTTTCAAGCCAAATCCTTGAACCTGTACTTTTGGCCACAGGTACATTGGGATGGTACATCCTGTCTTTCAAATAGTCCCAAACTATTTATGTTTTAAAAGTCAAATTGAGTACAGTACTTCAAAATAACTCTGGAAATGTACCATCAGACATGATACAAGCTAAGTTTGAGAATTCAAGTGATTTATTTCTGGCTCATATGCAGAGCATTTGAAACCACATTAAAACTAATCTTTTTTCAAAATGTTGTGGCTCTGTGGAATGTAAGGGGGAACAGTTCTCTATTTGCAAGTGCTCCTGGATTTTAGCCATCTTTGCAAGGCTTTCAAGGGGAAAGGTGGGTTGACAGCTACTACCTGGGGCTAATAATGGGTGCTCACGGAGCTTGGGTTTTGATTTATTTCAGGAGTAGTCAACTTTGGCTCTTTTATGACTCGTGGACTTCAATTCCCAGAATTCCTGAGCCAGAGCTGGCTCAGGAATTCTGGGAGTTGAAGTCCACGAGTCATAAAAGAGCCAAGGTTGACTACCCCTGATTTTATTTGCATGTATCCTAGCTAACACGTTTGTCTGATTTTAAACCCATATTGCTTGGACAGTTTCTATTAATTCCCACCCCTCTAAAATGAGACACAGTACATTCAAGAGTGAGACAAAGTGGAGTTGTGCATCTTTACAAATGGGATTTGGGCATGCGGTTTCCTTCCTCTCTTGCCTTAATCAATCAATTTCCATTAGATTGTTTCCACTCCATGCTCAAGTTTATTTATTCTTCCCTCACCCTTTTCCTTGAGGAATTGATGTGTCAATGCAAGAAGATCATTTTGCTGAAAGATTTTGCACTCTGGATCCTTTTAAATGACACCAAAGAATCCTAAGACACGTATCCAGATAAGGGTTTGGAAATAGTATCTGCTTTGTGCAAGACATGACTGGAAAGGTTTTAGCCTAATGTCCCCTCTTGTGATTTGAATATAGCTGGCCTGTTACCATTGTGATAATGGGTATGGAAGCCAC